CATGACGTTATTGCACCTATGCACTAAGCACAACGTACTAGTTAACTGGATAAATAAACAGAGCTCCTAGACAATTTCTCATTAGAACTTATTTTAATGCTTGAAATGATGATTATTTTTGTTAATACTGAAATTTTTTATAAACTGGGTTCATTAATGATGTTGATTCTTTTATTAATTTACACAGATATCTTGCAACTTTGATAAATATTAGAAATGATATATCATTAGAATTGTGACATATACTTCCTTAAAACTTGAGTTTGCTTTTATGATTAACTTTATCGTATGAAGACAGTAATTTTATGGAGAGTGCAAATTTCATTTAATTATTACAATATAATGTCGCTAAAAGTTTGTTATAAAGAGAACGTCCTCCCGCCTTTGATGGACTTGGACATGCGATGTTCTAATAAAAGTACCTGACATATCCCCTCACATACTTAAGCAAATAATTTCGCCAACGTCTACTCAGTCCCTAACTCTCCATCAGTTCTGGACGCTGGTTGATCTCTATCATTCTGTCCCGTAATCTTCATAAAATTGATTGGGATTTCCTCCTGATTTGAAGCTGTATTTATAAACGTAAACCCTGTGCGTCAGCTACTACTCGGAAACACACACACACACACACACACACACACACACATACACACAACACACACACACAGAGCACATGACTGCGTACTAAGGATATATTTCATTTGTACTTGTTTTATTTAAACGTTGAGTAAAATGAAACCAATAAACTGAATAAAATTGTTGGCATGAAAGCGTAGAGAAAATAATGTAAACCTTTATTCTATCCAATACATTTCTCCTGATAATAAATAATCAACTTCATGACAATTCGTTGTGAATAATATCAGCAACCTGATTAAAATCACATCTCCACTGTCCGACATGAAGTTCTGACAGCAACCGCTTATGGGTCGTATTCTGGTGATCTCTGAATTAGCTAATATAAATGCAGTTTTTAGAATTGAAAGTTCGGCACACATTGATGCTCTTCAGCCATACTGCTCAGTCTCCCGAATGCAAAGGTACAATTCTTCGTATGACTGATAAAATTGGCAATTATGGTAATAATATAGGTCACAAGAATGTGACCTCTAAGCCATCGCTGTCTTCCAATTACTAATTTACAAATAAAGTAGTAAACGCAATGTACACTTAATACACGGGAGATTTGATCAAATAAATATCCCCCCATCCGCAGATAAAACAGCAACAAAACATACTTCATTGTTCATTTAATAATTATTTTCTTTTTATCTCAATTTGTGCTTGAGGACATTTTCATAAACGCATAGATCAAAAACGTTTTAAGGTAAATAACCAGGCAATATATTTCAATACTTCTCATTAGATAAAAATATAATTTTTGTTATTTCTACTTGATTGTGCGGACTGAAAATGTCCGCTGAAACAAATTCACACAATGTTTCAGGGTCATACACTATGTTTTCATACATTACCAAGTTTCTTTATTTACTTAAAGTAAAATATGTTTTGAAATTCCGTTGTTCTGTTTATTTCTTTTATTTTATAACAAAAATATGTAATTAACTAAGATTTAATGAGCTTTTACAAACTTCCATTTCATAAAAGACTGATTATAAAATCGAAGATAAACTTGGTTTTTATTGACTTCTGTTTTATAAAATTTTTCAAACCATAAAGTTTAGTTTTACAAACCAGAAAAACAATATGGGGAGCAAACGACGATGGGATTTATCTCAGCTTCTCTAGCATTATCAAATAAAATACTGCATATACGCCTCGAGTGAAATTTGCACTGTTTCAGATCTATTTTCTTAGCCTTCATTGTACTTTTATCTACTTTGCATTATATGAGAGCTAAATGTTGTGCCTGGTTGATATTTGTGCTCTGTGTGTGTGTGTGTGTGTGTGTGTGTGTGTGTTTGCAAAAGTCACAGAAGTATAAGAGATAATATATAAAGATATTATTTGTTTCATTTCCTTTGTTTACTAAGGAAATACGGCACATTTCTCGCACCATATTACTTACTGTGGGTTTTTCTGCGCGTGACTTTTAGATTCATTTGTCGATATTATATTAATTACATTTCTTAATCTTCCAATAGTTTTGAAATATTTTTTTTTATCTTAGGGATTAACTTACATTAAAAGCGCGCGCGAGAGAGTGATGATATAGAATTAACAAATGATGATATTATTTTTTAATTTCCAACCCAAACCTAGTCATTCTTCATATTCCGGAATAAACACACATATATATATATATATATATATATATATATATATATATATATATATATATATATATATATATATATATATATATATATATATATATATATATATATTGTGGCAAGAGGAAATATACATATGTCATTCACAATTTTTATATAAAAGACTTTAGAATGTAACGGGAAAAATGATAAAACGGATCTTAAAAAACACGGAAAATCTATATCACTTTGCGATGTTAGAACTCTAGCCACGGCATAATGCT